TCACATGCATAAACACACACACACTCACATACACACACACACACACACACACACACACACTGTCAAATTATTTTTGCCCCTTCCCCCTCCCTAAAAATACGTTCTTGCAGACAATAAGAACATAAGCAATTCATCAGGAAACAGAACTGTCTTCCCCATTCTTTATGACTTGAGATTACAAACCCCACTTACCTGGTACTTTTTCTAAATTTAATAGTCATTGGTTAAAAAAAAAAAAAAAAACTAAGTAACTAAGACATAAAATAAATAAAACAAAGAGAGTTAAATACTGTGCTCTATGACTGACCCATGAAAATTAAAATGACTAAAAATTCTAATCTTTAAAAAAGCAATATTAAGACCTAACTTATTATTAGTTCATGACACAGTAGGCGCTAACCACATGTGGCTACTGAGCACTTGAAATGTGGCTAGGGCCACATGTTAAAAATGATAATATTTTGAATATATTGGGTTAAATAAAATATGTTAGTAAAATTAATTTCCTCTGTTTCCTTTTACTTTTTTCAGAGCGGCTGTAGAACATGCAAAAATTACATGTGTGGCTCTATGATAAGCCTTGCCTACCCCCTAGTGTCAGAACTTAGGCAATGCAAGAAAATCATTTTTCAAACTCATCTGCGTAGGTACAATTCATTTCTGCCGGTAAAGTACAAATAGCAGCTTGCACATACGATTTTATCATTTTCACAGATTTAAACCTCAGAGAGACTGCTGTAGTAGATGTTATATGCCCCACTTAATTAGTATTTTTAAAAGTACCAGGTTTCTTGAAGAAAATTCGAGATAATACAGTCCATGCAGTCAAGCATATTTACAGGGTTCCTGTAAATGTCAGCCCTTAGAGGGGAAGAAGACATGAGTCCAAACTTGGATGCAACAACTGCTCTTCAAAGGATGCACCCTAAGTTAAAAATAACGTAAGCCACCGAAATACACAATCACAACTCGCATGTTTTGCATTTATAACAGAAAAAAAACCAGAAAACCTAAATTTCCATAAATTTGAACAGTACAGAACCTCTACAAAATTAAAAAAAAAAAATTCAAAAGAAGAAGGCAGGTCTAAATAAAGACGGCTAGCATTTGAGCACTCGCTAGGCAAACGCAGTTCTCAGCATTTCCCAGACATTAACCGATTCCTTACTATAACTCTGAGGATTATTTTTTACTATTTTTATTATTCTCGTTTTGCATAGAAAAAGGCTGAGTCCCAAAGAGGTTTCATAACTTGCCCAAGAATGAAAGAAGGACTGAAGCAAACCTGAAGCTCATGCTGCTTCCTGTGCCACGAGTAATAAAATCTTTTGTCTCGGGCCGGTTGTGGTGCCTCACTCCTGCAATCCGAGCACTTTGGGAGGCCAAGGTGGGCGGATCACTTGAGTTCAGAAGTTCGAGACCAGCCTGGACAACATGGTGAAACCCTATCTCTACTAAAAATATAAAAGTTAACTGGGCATTGTGGCAGGTGCCTATAATCCCAACTACTCAGGAGGCTGAGGCAGGAGAATCACTTGAACCTGGGAGGCAGAGGTTGCAGTGAGCCAAGATTGCACCACTGCACTCCAGCCTGGGCGACACAGTGAGACTCCATCTCAAAACATAAATACCAAAATAAAATAAAATCTTTCATCTCTGACCTAAGTATCTCATGCTTTCTGCCCAGCATCCGCGAAACTACGACCAGCTAAACTATCAGCTTGCGAGGAGGGTAAAGGCTCAGACCCTTCACCATTCTTGACATCTAACTACTTCCCAATCAGTGAGACACCCTCTCTACAGCAGATTTAGCTCAAGGCCAGCAAATAAAAGAGCTCTCAACACCCTCTCTAGGTCACTCTGTTCTCCAGCTTGCTGAAGCCTTTCCCTCCTTCTTAAGATTGAGCTGAAACCTGTCTTCCTAAAGTGACTTTCTCCACTACAGTCAGCTTTCTAGAACAATGAAAAGCAAGTCTTTTTCTCTTATACACGAGAAAGCTTCAAACCCTGAAGGCTCTGACCACATCTACTTACCCAAGCTCACAGTCTTCAGCCATTCCTGGAATGTGAATCTTTCCAGACTCATTCTAGATGCCTCCAAATGTGAAAAGAGCTGCCATTTATGGAATGTTCCCTATGTGCTAATCTCTTCACCTACTTTTCCTTATTTAGTTATCCCAGTAACTCCAATTAAAGTAGGCATGTATATCATATCATTTTTACAGACGATGATACAAGCTCAGAGAGGTTAAGTAGCCTGGATGAGGCCACACAGCCAAGATGTACCAGAACCAGAATTATGTTTGACTTTAGACCCCACCCCCCCACACACACAACATTTGATTTCCTTTGTTGCCTCATTTCCAGGCATGCCCCAGTTTTTCCAGGGACTTTATGCCAACAGATTAAATAGTCACCAAGCACCACAGCATTTGGTGGAATTGAAACAGCGCAGTCCAGGTTATATTCAAAGTTCTCTGGGGAAATGGAACTATTAAAGTGAATGTATAAATCAATAGCACCCAAGTTTCCAACTCTCTCAGCTGGCTCAGAAAACTAGCTACAATTCCAAATTTAAAGGACCAAATCCGTATTTTTGAAGTGCCCAAATATTCCCAGTAATAAATCTTAAAATTGTAAGATGCTCTGTGTCACAACCACTCATGTCTACGCCGAATGAAACCTCCAGGAAGATCCCTAAATGATTAATTCTACTGGAGTCAAGTTTCTGAAACTTCCTTCCAGACGGCATCTTTCCACTTTGCCACGTTTGCTGCCCCCTTGTGGGGAAATGATGCTCTGCTTACAGCCAAAAAAAAAAAGGAACAAAAGGACAAATTGCTAACTGAAGAAATAACAGAGTTAGCCCTGGCTTCCTTTTAAAGGAAAAGGATCTGCCGATTGGCCCTTCACCTCTTCTACAGCTTGAAGCTACACAAGTCCTATATGCGTATGTGATCTTCTGCTCAATTATTATGGCAAATAGACTAAAAACAACAAAAGTGGTCTTTTGTGTCTTATAGTTGCTTAAAAATACCATTTCTGGACTCTGTGGAAATGTTTCAGTGCCATTTGTCTTCAAGAAAGAGTCTCACCACCCATCCTGTGAAAATTAGGTGGGTTTTTATTTAGGTTTTTTTTTTTAATGCTTAAACTAAAATTAAATCTTTGATACCCACCTACCATAACACTCCATCTCCCAAAACTGGGGGAAGACTGCCACCTTCTTCTCTCTGTGTCTCTTAGGAAGGTAGGTAGAGATATGGTTGTAAAATGTCTCCTTGTTTACACATAACAATCAACAAGCCACTCTTCTAATCCAAGCCATAAAAAGCATCAAACTTCTAACGAGGGGTTCCTAGTGCCACCATTTCTTTAATTGGCCAGTACTAACCACAAAGCCCATGGGACCGTGCTGGGAGCCTTTCTGGACACTCACACACAGCCTTCTGCAGTTAACTCTCTGCAACTTGCTCCCACTGTAAAACACCCGTAGTGGAGTGAAAATCTAACCAGAGTTTCTCAGGATCTCAGTGCACTGCCTCAGTTATTTCTGGTGATCCTGAGTTCTCCATCAGCTGAGCACTACATTGGGACAAAACTGCCACATGGACATGGCAAGATTATTAGAGAAAATTTACAGCATGAATGGGAGTGGGTGGTCATCTCACTGAAATGCTTTGCCTGTCGACTAGCCTGGCTCTTAAACTCCAGTCAGGAAAACAGTGTAGTAATCTTATCTGTATTAAACAGGTAAGATTGAGGACCTCAGACACTACCCTCGTGAACAAACTCATAAAAAGAGGCATAGCACAACGACCAACTAGCTGTGTGTACTTCGCAGCAGCCAGATAGTATTGATTTTATGCTAATTTGCTACAACTTCAATCATTATTTTTCTCATCTTCTTGGAACTGTCACTGGAGGAGGGAAAATTGAGTTGTATTAGATTTTGAAAATTATCTTGAGCCTAAAATTATAACTAACCTTAAAATATCAGAATAACAAAGTGGAAAGTATGACATGTTATATATTAATGGCAAGAATATCTCATGAACTTTCCATGCAAAGACCTTTGGAGAGAGAATTTATAATTCTGACCCATACGTGATTTGGGGTTTAGGCATCACTCTTCCTCAAAGAAGTCAAAACATTTCTGGCACTGCCATGCCTCAGATTACCACAGCTGAGAGAGTAAATTAATTCACAACAAGTCCATTGACAAATATGAATTATTCAGGAAAACACAATTCACTGGGGAGTTTCCACTGTGTCACTTTAAATGTTGATGCAGGAAAGAAAGGACAGAAACACAAAAAAACACAAACCGATCTGTAGCTGATGGTTTTGATCTCACCTTTAAAAATCAGCAATACACAGATAAGAGTTTCACTAGAAGTTATCAGAATGATTGCCTCTAAATCTTTTAACAACCCCCATTTTAAGTCCCTTATGAAATTTACCACAGATTTTTCTTTCAGTCTTCTTTTTAAAAAGATCACGTAACCTATTTTCTCCATGTATCTAAAAAAGGTCTTAAATTATATGACTGTTCCCTTCACTAAGGCCCTGTAAGTGTTAATTGAAGTTTATCATAAAGATGTTCTACTTCTGAGGAAGCATAGGAGTGTGTGGATGGATGGTCAGACAGACAGATGGACTGACATGTACACACACACACACACACACACACACACACAGACACACCAACCACACAAATTGCTGCTGGTTTTCTGGGATTCCTTGAGAAAAAGTGCTATAAAAATAAAAGTGTGTCCAAGAAAATAAAAGCTTTTAAAAGCCTGAAAAATATTTTTTAAAAACTCTTTACGCACTAAACCATTAAACTGTGTTACACCACCATATTTCATGCTTCCCCTAGTTATTTACACACCATCAGAAGCTCTCATCAGTTACCTGTGTCCAAAATGTGGACTCTAACATTTGGAGGGGTTTTATTAATTGATCTCAGCAGTGCATAATGAGCTTAAAGGACTTACCTGTATGTCCCCGGAGGTGCTGGCTTGAGGCAGACATCAGCTTACAGCACACCATTAACACGTAGGCTAGAAAGAGCCAGTGCGGCAGCAACACTGACTTAGCACAGACTCTCATCCTGGAGGAAAAGCAGGGCTGGAGTCAGTGAGGGTTGAGGAAGGCCAGGCTCCCTGGCAAGCACCATCCTAGGAAGGCGGGAGAGAGCAGGGGCAGATCCCTGGAGCTAGACTTCCTTTCTCCCAAGAAAACAGAAGACCAATCAAACCTTATTTGCACTGAGCATTAACTAAATTTTCAATAAACACCTTTGATAATTAAGAGTTTTCCAAGTTAGCACTATGCATCAGTGAGAAGCTCATTTATCAATCCCCAAGTTGTGCTCGAGTTGCCCTAATAGAGCATGGGGATTTTATTCTATTTTATGCCATGAGATGTAAAAGCAACATACTTAGGGCTAGATGCAAATAAAATATATATGGTTTCTAGATCTTAAAGAATCCACGGAGATTTTGCACAGGTAGTCCAAGAACTTTCTCCTGGTTTCTCTGACTGTATACAAAGGATTTCTGGTCCGAAAGACTAGATTCACAGTTGACTAAACCAGTATCAAGATTTGGAGAGGAGTACGGGCAAATCCAGGTGAATATAAAATAAATTTAACTTCCTATGATGGACAGTATCAAAACAGTTGCTCAGACAATTCAGTTCACATTATAGTTGCATGTTCTATTCTAAAATAAAAGAGTAAATACAAAATCATTATTCCCAACTGCCTAATTTTCTGCCCTTTTTTCTAACATCATAAGGGAATTAAGTAAATAGAACTTGATGAACTTTTGGCGTTTGCTTTTTTAAAATTAACATTTCAAGCAAAAGTCACTGCATTTGGCACCTGAAATTCTAGTGAGACTAGGTTCTGCCTCACACATGCCTCATGGCATCCATTATTACCACAAAGGATCAGAGAAACCCCCTTTTAATATATGCAAATGTACACACAGTTATGGGCCCACAATAAAAACATGGGTTTGGATTCTTGGCCTTGGGCACCTGAGTTTGGCCTCTTGCCTGCATCATACTATAGGCAAGGCTCCTAAGGAAGTCCTCTAAAGAGGCATCTCTAGCTGCCAGAAACGTAGCAATGCTTCTACCAAAGTCCTGGTTCCCTGCTGCAGGGAAAACACATCAAAGCCTCAGAGGAACTCCATGCCCACACCACGCTCCCAGGCACACACAGGTTCTGCTGCCAGCCTTCTCTCCCGCAACTTCTCACAATTCAGTCAAATAGACCTTGATAAAGGGCATATTGCTTATTGATTTGGGACTCAGTCTCCTTTTAATCAGCCAAGCCATCATCTTTAAAGAATTTGATGTTAAAGGTAACACAAAGCCTTGGCTTCTTTTTGCCCCTTTAAACTGTTTCAAAATGGTTTTAAACTGCTTTGTTGGGTAATTTGCAATGCAGCAATATAAAACTAATCCTTCATTTATGTGATGCCTTGAAATTTTCCCTTTTGGGGCCGCTAATGATGACAAATTGGAAGTCAGGGTACCTGATCCAGATTGTAAATGTGTTTTGTTTGATCTGTGCCTTTTTTAAAAATAAATTGAATTGGTTGCCAACACATAAAATGTCCAGTTTGCACATCAGAATCCAGATTCTCTTGAAAAATTATTCCTGACATCCCTGGGCTCACATTTCCACATGGGAGTAACAGACGGGGGTGGTCGCACCTGCCCCTAGACAGGTCTCCACAGTCCCTCCCTCAAGCCAGTACCTTAGGCCCAGCCAGCCTGACTCATTCACATGTGGCCATGTGAACTTCTGATCCTTGGGCAAGAGAAATAAGCCTTTGTAACAACTAGATCAATAGCTGACACTGGGGTAACAACTGGAATTTTAAAACATTATGTGTGAGAAAGGGTGTTGCATTTTTTTTTAAATCATCAAATATGGGAATTTGAGCCTCTGGGCTTCCCCCAAATTATATGACTGATAATAGCAACTCAAACTCATGGAAGTCCACATATTATTTTCTTTGCCACCTTTCAAGCTGCTTCTAGAGTTTATGTCCCCTTCACGTGTGTACTTGGAGGTAGGGGAGATGGAAGGCATGCTTTAAGAAACTAAAGGCCCTTAAAAGCAGAGCAGCTCCATGTTTCTGTGTAACTTTGGAATGCTAGGAATGTCTGAAGCAAATTACCAAACTTAGAAGTTTAAAACGACAATCTATACCCATACTACCCTCAACCACCCAATCTCATCTGACCTCAGAAGCTAAGAAGGGTCAGGTCTAGTTAGTGCTTGGATGGGAGAAGTTTGAAACACCAATATATTATCTCATAGTTTCTGTAAGTCAGGAGTTTGTCATGTTCTGGCTGGGTCCTCTGCTCAGAAACTCACAGGCTAAAATCAAGGTATCAGCTGGGAGTGTCCTCATCTGGAGGCTCAACTGGTGAAGGATCACTTCCAAGTGCTCTCAGGTTGTTGGCACAAGCCATTTTCTAGGGACTCTCTGACTGAGGGCCCTGTATTCTTGCTATCAGCCAGGACCTGCTCTCCAGGTTTTGCCACATCTTTGCCACATGCCCCCTGCATATGCTCCTTCATAGTTTGAATTTCTTCTTCCAGGAAAGGCTCAGTCCCTTTTTAGGGCTTACCTGATTGGGTCAGTCCCACCCAGGATAATCTTTCTTTTGATTAACTAAAAGTCAGTGTATGTGGGACCTTAAAAACACTGGTGAAATCCCTTCATCTCTGCCTTACAGGTGTAATTTAATCAAAGATGTGAATCTCATCATAACCACAATTCCACCCACACTCAAAGGAAAGCAATTCAAATATTTAAAATAATGTCCCACTATTGGCAATAACTGAATGAAATATCTCTAATACAAAGAGAAAAGGTTTAACTTGTCAAAACCATAAACTGATAGATAATTTGATCATATGTGTCAAATGTCCACAATGTTCATATCCTTCAACCTAGCAGATCACTTATAGGATGTAACCCTAAAGAAATAACAAGCAGCCGGGCATGGTGGCTCAAGCCTGTAATCCCAGCACTTTGGGAGGCCGAGGTGGGTGGATCACGAGGTCAAGAGATCGAGACCATCCTGGTTAACACAGTGAAACCCCATCTCTACTAAAAATACAAAAAATTAGCTGAGCATGGTGGCGCGTGCCTGTAATCCCAGCTACTCAGGAGGCTGAGGCAGGAGAATTGCCTGAACCCAGGAGGCGGAGGTTGCGGTGAGCCGAGATCGCGCCATTGCACCCCAGCCTGGGTAACAAGAGCGAAACTCCGTCCCAAAAGAAAAAAAAAAAAAAAAAAGAAATAACAAGCAATGTATGGGCCCTTTTTATTGTTTATACTACTGAAAATGATCTGGCCATGCATGGTGGCTCATGACTGTAATCCCAGCACAATGGGAAACTGAGGTGGAAGTATTGCTTGAGGCCAGGAATTCAAGGCAGGAATGAGCTATGATTGTACCAGCACACTCCAGCCTGAGCAAAGAGTGAGACCCTGTCTCAAAAAAAGGCAGGGAGGCAGGGACGGAGGGACGGAGGGACAGAGGGACAGAGGGACAGAGGAACAGAGGGAGGAACAGAGAAAAATGATCCAAGTGTTTAACAGTATGAGACTGGTTAAACAAAATATGACACAGCCATGAGATGGAACATTTTTCAGTAAGGAAAGTGATATTATAAAATGAAAAATAAACAAAAATTTATTTTAAATATATGAATTATGTGACAGTCTGGGCCTGTTGTGCCTTCAGATCCATTCTTCCCCTTTTCCCTGAACTAAAGACTGGAGGGTCCTCTAGGCTGCATTTCCCAGGCTCACAGGTTAGCTGGCTACTGGCTGGGTTCAGTCAAGGAAAGACAACAGCTGGAGTCTGGAGAATGCGAAAAGGGATAGGCAAGGACATCTCTCCCTGCCTTCTCTGTCTTTGGCAGGATCTGTGGATTGGCCATTTCTCCACCATGGCTCCAGTTCCGGACAGAAGGGCCCACTATGGTTGCAGCTTCCAGTCTAGTTCCCTTCTTCTAGCACTGCTTCCCCATGGACTACTTCCATGATCCCCAGCCGGGGCATGCAGTGGTTTCCTGTGTGGCTTCTGCTCAGTTTCCCAGACTCTCCCATCATATGTATAACCAGTCTCCAAAATTCACTTTCCATTGGACAAAAACGGAAGGTGGAGATAACGCATTCCCAGGACATGCAATTTACCCAACCTCACGGAGCAGTGAAAAAACCAGCAGAATGATTTCTGTTTTCCTGGTTGGATTCCAACAACAAACCACTGAAATCAAAAGTCTCAAAAGCAGACATTCCAAATCCCAGGCAATGATCCCTAATCCATCTTCTTCTTAAATGGATAATTCTACATAACGAGTTGCTGGATGAGTAGCAACAAGTTCCCAGTCCCTAAAACAAGTATTCTCTTAACAATAGCTCAACAAACATTCCTCTAGAGAAATGCCAGGCAGGGTGGTAGGGGTGGGGTCAGAAAGCTATTCAGCAATAGATTTATATTTCCTCATCTTTTCCTCTACTGAATAAACCAAAGTACTGTTTTGCAAACTGAAATAATTTCTTTCACAAGTGAAAGTTAAAATGAAAAGATCAACATTTCGTCAAATTCCTAAAAATTCTATGTAAAAGCAGGCTTCAAAAAAAAAAATCTTCAACTCCAGGATACTCAGTTTTGCTAAAATTCTCAATACTTTGTAAAGATATTATCTCTAGGTGAACATTAAAATAATCTTACCTTGGAGACTTCGTAAGATTTGGTTCCAGTCAAACACAATTATTCCAGGATGTATTTCAGAGTGACTCCAAATTCCCATCTGTAGCTAGAACTAATCATTTCTGCCGTTCCAAAAAATTATCATAGCTTAGAAGACCTATGTTAAAAAAGCCAAAAAAAAAAGGGAATCAATTAGCATTTTAATGTTAAAATGAAACTAATTTCCAGGAGCAAAATAATGGTCTTTACCATGACACCTGCAGTTTCAGGCAAATGGCAGGCAGCCAAACATATCCATAGTTGTGAGGTGTCCTAATATTAGGAAGGAAAAGATAGAAAATTCTACAGTCATTAACTAGCCACATATTAGTTAACACAATATAGTTTTAAAGAACTTCCTGCAATGGGAAGGGTATTCAAAATGTAACAGAGGGCCCCAAATCATTTGAAATGCATCAATTTCACTTTCCCATTTCGTTGACCATTGGACAAAACTGGAAGTTGGAGATAACAACTTCCCAAGACATGCAATTTGCCCACGCCCATAGAGCAGTGGAAAAGCCAGCATAAAGCTCTGAAGTCTTAGGTTTGTGTGGCATAAGCCTGAATATGATGCTAGACAATCTACAAGGTTGCTTTTTGAAAAAATGTTAATAGGACACCAAGTGAAAAAGTATTTTCCAATATAATCCACCATACCAAAATATAGAGAACACTTGTGAATACTGCAATTGACACTCCCTCAATGCACAAACCTAAAAAAAAAAATTCTACTTAGTGAACACATTTGTAAAAGGACTCCGATGGTCCTAAAGCAAAGACATCTTGAGGAAAAAACAGAACATGAAACTATACCATTTGTAATGATGCTAAGTTAAATACATCTCTCCCTGTGGTGGAGATCAGAGAAAAATAATGATATGCATTAATATATATTCAAGTTGCAAATATAACATAAAAATGATTTTTGAAACACAGTCTAATTACTTTAGAATCCTGTAGAACCAGTTAAGAATCCACCACCAAGCACAACTGAGGTTTTTCTCTTAGATAGCCGGAAGATAATTCCACAAGTTTGATTAAAGAACACTTTCGGTGATAAATTTGAAGACTCACCACTTTGGGCTTCATATAAGAGGGTATGGGCCTTGAGTAATTAGTTCAACATGAGGGAAATGGCTTTAAATAACTGTATAAGTATGAGTTGCTCAGAAAAAAAACAACTTGAAAATGTTCATCTGCCAAATCCTCCAACTTTATTAAGTATGTTTGTTCTTATGTCCACCCAAGGGCACGATGTGACCTTCTGCTATCAGAAAGAACTACACAATACAATTTATCAGAACCCATCATAATGAACTTCCCACATATTGGAAACCAAAATGACCTTTCCTGGCTAATATTTATCTTGTTTTCTTCACACAAAAGGAACCACTGGGTATTCTTTTTTCAATTCATTAAAAAAATAGATCCATCAGTGGAAAGTAATGCGATCTAATAGTTCATATGCCATTCAAGGAGCCAGGAGTTTAATTTTAGGCTGAGCCGTAACTCATTCAGTCGTATTTTCCCAGAGTGTACCTTAGGCATTAGCTTGAAAGAATTAACTCTTTCTTCTCATGTCTTAGTCCATTTTCTGCTGCTATAACAGAACAGAAATTGGGTCATTTAGAAAGAAATTTATTTCTCACAGTTCTGGAGGCTGGGAAGTCCAATATCAAAAAGGCAATTAAATTTCAACACAAGTTTTGAAAGGCACATTCAAGCCATAACATTCCACCTCTGGCCTCCCGAAACTCATGTTCTTCTCACATATAAAATATATTCATTCCGCCTAAATAGCCCAAAAGCATCAATTCAAAAGCCCAAAGTCCAGAGTTCCATCTAAATCAGATATGAGACTCAAGGCATGATTCATCCCACCTCAAATGTCCTCCAGCTGTGAGCCTATATAATCAAAACAAGTTATCTACTTCCAAAACACAATGATGAAACAGGCATAAAACAGACATTCCCATTCCAAAAGGGAGAAATACGAAAATGAAAGAAGTAACTGGTTCCCACTATGTCCAAAACCCAACAGGGAAAACAACATTAAGTCTTCAAGCTGGAGAATAATGTCCTCTGGCTCCATATGCCCTGCATACAGGACATGCTACAGCAGAAATCAGGTTACCAATGCCTTCGGCAGCCATGCCCCCATGGCTTGGCTGGACCTCGTCCACTCAGCAGCTGTCTTGGGTTGGTGTCTTGTGCCCACAGCTCTCCGAGGCTGGAGTGGTACGCCAGCAGCTCTACATTTCAGGAGTCTCTGAGGTAGTCTCACTCTCACAGCTCCACCTTAACAGTGCCCCCTAGTACTGCTCTCTGTGGTAGCTCCTCCCTTGTAATGAGTTTCTGCCAGGACCTCCAGACTGTCTGATACATCCTTTGAAATCTATGTAGAGGTGGCCATGGCTCCAAGGCTCACACATTCTGTACTTCCACAGGATCAGCACCATGTGGACGCCACCAAGGCACACCACTTGTGCCCTCTGAAGCTCTGGCACTAGCTATACCTGGGCCTGCCTGATGGGTCCTGCATTGGAATTTGGGGAACAGAATTCCAAGGCTGCGTAGGGCAGTGAATGCTGAGGTCCCGCAGGTACCGCTTTGGAAATCTTGCCCTCAAGGTCCTAGGTTGCCTGAAAGGTCTGTGGAATATTGTCAGGGTAATTCTCTCATTGTCTTAAACTGCACCTGTCTCCATTCTAGCTGTATTAATCTCTTTAGCAAATGGGTGCCTGACCACACCCTTAGTATTTTCTCCCAAATGTGGTGTTTTATTCTTTACATGGCCAGGCAGAGAGTCTTCCAAAGCTTTCTGTTATGCTTCCCCTTTACTTATGAATTCTGTCTTTAAATATTTTTTCTATTCACTCATTTTACTGTGAGCACCCAAAGAAGCCATGCAGCACCTTGAACACTCTCCTGCCACGTATGCTAGATCACTGCCCTTAAATTCCATCTTCTATAAAACCCTAGGGCATGGACACAATTCAGCCAAATTCTTCACCATGTTAAAACAAGGATTGTCTACTCTGGTTTCCAATACCATGTTTCTCGTTTCTGCTTGAGACCTCATCAGAATAGCCTTTACCATCCATATCTCCAACGACATTCTGATCACAACCTCTTAAATGATCTCTAAGAAGTCTCAGACTTTTCCTACAGCTATTCTCTTCTCTCCTCTGAGGCCTCACCAGAACTACCCTTAACACTCCATTCACAGCAATACAGTATTTTTTCAGCATTTACTTCAAAACTGTTCCAGCCTCTACCCATTACCCAGCTCCAAAGCTCCTTCCACATTTTCAAGTATTTGTTATAGCAATAACAAATAACCCCACTCTCTGTACCAATTTTTTGCCTTTGTCTGTTTTCTTCTACTATAATGGAATACCTGAAACTGGATAATTTATAAAGAAAAAAATCTATTTCTCATAGTTCTAGAACTGGGAAGTCTAATATGAAAGTACCAGCATCTGGTGAGGGCCTTCTTGCTGCATTACCCCATGGCAGAAGATGGAAGGGGAAGACTATTCAAGAGAGCAAGAAAGGACTCAACTTGCTTTTATGACAATCCACTCTCACAATAAAGAACACAGCCCCCAAGATAATGACATTAATCTATTCATGAGGGTGGAAGCCTCATGACCTAATCCACCTCTTATGATCCTACCTCTTAATATCATCACAATGACAATTAAATTTCAACATGAGTTTTGGAGGGGACATTTAAACCAAACTGTGTCACTTCTAAACTTCAGTATATTAAAGATCAATAATTTTGTGCATGGCATCAAAAAAAAAAACAGCATTTATTTGCAATCATTTCATTCCTCTGTTGTTCCCAACTATAATACAGTCCTATCTATCAGTCTGCTTCAAAAGTCATTTGTTTTTAAAGAGTCTCAGTGCTCTCAGTGATGAAAGACATTGCCCATATCTAGACTAAAAAAACTTTTTTAGATCACGTCTGGTCATTCTTGGAATGAACTAAAAAGATGGTGGATGCTGGGCTGCATTTTTCATCTTCTGCCTGATGTGTGGGTATTATATAGAGACAGTCACTGATTTACTACAAAAGAGCAGAAAGCCTATTTATGTCTCTTGACACCAAGAAACTTTGAGGTTCCCAGGCAGAAGAGACCATTCTTCAGATGTTTAATTTATTTCCATGTTACACAAGAAAGAATTTTACCTACACTTGATTTCTTATCAAGGAAAATAGAGAGGCTGTGCCCTCCTCTTCACTTTATCTTCTTGCCTCCATTATCAGTGAGGTAAAATCCCCCAAAGAACTATTCTTTCTAGAATATAGTCATTCACTTGTAGATGAGCACCTTCAGAATACCTCTTCTGTCTGAAAACCCCCCTCACTCCACATGCGAATTTGCAGGGCATCATATTCCCCCCATCTTCCCACTCAAAATCTATATGATGATGAAATACCAGTTCCTCTTAAAATTGAAAAACACAGTGACCTTAAACCTGGATCTAATCATGAGGAAAATCAAATGAACTCAAATTTGAGAAACACCTGCAACGTAATTTCTCTGTATTCTTAAAGAGTATCAAGGTCATGAAAGACAAATAAAACTAAACATGAGAATTGTCTCAAATAAAGGCAAGAAACATGGCAGCCAAATGCAACGGCGATCTTACATTGGATCTTGGACCAGGAAAAACAGTCATTCTCAGAATGAACTGTACATCCACACAAAAGCAAGAACACATATATGTAGCCCATAAAGGCCATAATTGAGAAAAGCAACAGTATCTGAATATAGCCTGCAAATTGCATTACAGTGTTCTACAACATTAAATTTCCTGATTTTGATTCTCATACTGTAGGTAAGAAAGAAAATGCCCTTGCTATTAAATAGACCCTGAAATATTTAAGAATAAAGGGACAAATGCCTCCCATTTATTTTCAAATGACTTTAAGAAAACATGGGCGGGAAGAAGGCAAAAGGAAAGAGAGAGAGAAGAGCAGGATAGAGCGAATGAGAAAGAGAAGAGAGAGGGGATGAATGAATGCAAAAATAAGTAAAAGGTAAACAATTGGTGAATCAGGGCACAGGGTATATGGGATTCTCTGTACTATTCTTTGAA